AACCCTCTGATAACATTTGCACCTGAACCAGAAGAAGGCTTTTCCGTCCCTCTGAGCCTCATACTGGGTGAGGACTTCAACACTTCCATGGGTCTGAGGTATTGGTCTTTGATCTGGCCATGGCTATGTCAAACAGTTCACTCAGGGCTTCCTTAGTTCTCTCAAGGAGGTATTAAAGGATATAAATTATTGCCTTGTGACAGAATACCTGTCAAAAACAACTGAAGCTGATAGTTTTTTTGACTCACAGTGTTAGAAGGTTAAGCTCATCATTATGGGGAAAGTATTGTGAAGTAGCTCACATTATAATAGACATCAAATAGAGAAATGGTACTTTGGACTGAGCCAGAGCAAGATATGGTTCTCAAGGACATTTCACCATGGATTCACTTCCTCCAACTAGACTGTACCTCTTACCTTTATAACTTTGAAATCATATCACCATATTATGAACCCATGAAAGAGAGATTAATCCATTGGTTAAGCCAGAACCCTCATGGTCTTAACATCTCCTGAAATATAATTACACAAACTCTAAAATAACTTTGCTAGTCTCCTAGGTATTTCTCAATCAAATAAAACTGATAATTATTATTAATCATCATATGTTGTTTGAATCTTAAATGGTCTTATAATAAAAAACCCAGAGCCAGATATTAGGGTGAAAGCTGAAGGATCAGAGAAGTAGAACAAGCCACAGCCACCACCTATTACCTCACCAACTCCAAGAATCCTCTGAAATCCTCTGAGTTTTCACCCTAAAGGGTCTCAGCTGAACTGCCTTAGTTCCTGTTTTCTCATGCCTTATATACCTTTTCTGCCCTGCCATCACTTCCTGGGATTAAAGGCCTATGTGCTTCTCACTGATGGGATTAAAGGTGTGTGCCACCAATACCTGGCTCTGTTTACAATTGGCTTTGAACTCACAGAGATCTAGATGGATCTCTCCCTGTCAAGCGATAGGATTAAGGGTGTGTGCCACCACTTTCTGGCCTCTATGTCTAATCTAGTGGCTGGCTCTGTCCTCTGATCCTCTGGCAAGCTTTATTGGGGTACACAATATATCACCACAATCATATGAGTTTTCAGTCTTTTGTGAATTCAAATTAGTAGAGAACACTAGTTTCAATTACTTCATGATTTAGCTATTCTGTCAAAATATCTCATCAGTTATCCCAGCACAGGACAACTTCCTAGCATATCTACCTCTATCCCTTAGGTAAGCTTTTCTCTGATACATTTGTAATCGAGAATGGGGTGCTTAGTTTTTCCTGTCTTTTTGTATGTGCTGCTAGCAAGATAGCTGCAGTTGTTCAAATAAGGGATTTCTCCAACATGCTCAGTCATTTGAACATATTTTCTCCTGGTTGCCTTCAAGCCTTGGAGAGGTTATGGTAAATTCAGCCTTCCTAGAGGAAATACATTATTGGGAGCATGTTTTGGGAGTTTGAAACCTTGTTTCTCTCTCAGTCCACTCTCTGTTTCATGCTTTTGATTAAAGATCTCTTGACTTTCTGCTCCTGTCAACAGGCCTGCTACTTATTGCCACACCACTCCACCATGATGGACTTTTACTCTTCTGAAACCATAGGCAAAATAAACTCTTTCTTCAATATGTAGCTTTTGGTCATGGTGTTTTATCACAACAACCAAGAAGTAATTAATGTAATAGCTTTCTAGAATAGATCTGGAATTTTAACTACTCAATTTAGGAGAAATACTTTCCAACTTGATACCTGCTTGGCTTCTAACTCTCTTACTTCATGTATTTAAAGTGAAAAGTTATCTTTCCATGATGATACTTCATATATGTAATTTTTTGTCTTAATTGTGTTTTTACTCTACTGGTTGATGAGCAGTTGATCTCTTCTCTCTTTTAATATACTCTGAATGTATAGAATAGAACTGATACAGTATTGGTAGCCAACAATCATTTAGCTAATGAAAAGGCAAAATAAATAAGTCCTGTAATAATGCCAATCATATTTGTTTTTTAGTCCTTGGGAACTACATAACTAAATAACTAAATACTAAGCTTGAGTCTTTAAAACAATCTTCATTAGAAGAAAATTCCTTGTGTTATGAATGATGAAAACAAAATTCACAGAGATCAGGTAAATTGCCCAGGGTCCCATAGCTGGATGGTATTAGGCTGAGGTAAAGTATCTAAAGCTCTTTCATTGCCATTCTTTCTAAATCAAAGGCAAGTATATTGACTTACTATTGTCCATATTTTAATCAAAGATTAAAATGTCCCATGTCTTTCAGGAAAAGCTTGACATAGTGACTATACTAGTCTAACATGGATATTTGAAGGATTAAAAGTATTTTTTTTCCAGCATGGATTTGATAGATTTTACTTGATGCTGCATCTCAGGGAAGTCAGGATCCCCAGGTTGCCATGGAAACAGAGAGCAGCTGTTCACAAAGTCATAGCATGTGGAGTGATGATCCTTTCTTCATAGTTTTAGCAAAGAACAAATCTAGTCACTTGTTAAGCTGTGACTTTCCCCAGTGCTACTGGTCCTATTTAGACCTACATGTGATCTTCTCTTCACTTTAAAAGTTAGTTACCATTATAATTCATAAAAATTCAAAACAAGAAAAAAATCATGATCATCCAACTCAAAACAGCCTCTTTGTCATTCTGATTTTTTAAATATAAGCTATTGAGACTTAGGAAGCTGTACAGGCCAAAATTAATCTCACCAATTAATAATACTAGTATTAATTAATTCATGTTTTCATTTGTGCCTTTTTTTTCTTATCAGTTTTTACTTTTGAATGTTAAATGAAAGAAAATATACAGTCTAGTGTTTATGAGCTTGAAAGCCATGGGCTTTCTTTTGGATCTCCTTGTGTGTATGATGTCCTTCCCATATCCAGCCACTCTAATAGTGTGTCATTACCCTACAGTGTGCACAAAAGTATATACACATAAAAGCTAATCTTTCTTCATGATCTTCATGGCCTTCAAATTTTCCTATTCCTTATAAACCCTCTGCCTCTCTACATTGTTAGTTATGGGGACATGGAATTCTTTGTCTTAAAGCCAACAGGTTACCTAAAACTTAGTACTGACTCCCATTCATTGTAATCAGTATCATCAGTCTGAATTTATTTAGATATGTGATTATCTCATGTCCTTTTTTAAGTGTTCAATATTGTCCATGCTCTGCTAGCCAGCACCCCAAACCTCCCCCTTATTAACTATAAGACCATTATTAACTTGGGTTTTGAATCCATAGAATATGAATGATGTCCACATCTTTCTATCTGTCTATGTATGTATGTATGTATGTATGTATGTATGTATGTATGTATGTATCTATCTATCTATCTATCTATCTATCTATCTATCTATCTATGCCTGTGTGTGTGCGAGCATACAATTCAATGTTTGTTAGGATTCAGTGAGCCATTGCAAGAAAAAAATCTGTACTATTTTGGTCACATACTGTTACAGAGGATGAACATCTGAGCTCTTGGGTGACGGTAACAGCAAAACCTCAGTTGCCTCTGCTCAATGTTCACATATCTTTCCACTAGCAAACTAGTTGGCTTATATCTCTATCCAAGTTTTTTTAAAGGACCTCCATTTCCTGTGGAGCTTTAGGGTCTTTTTCAGTGCTTTCTCTGTGTTTATTACCTGTGCTACATATATTTTCAATATTGCAACACATACATGCAAAAGTTTGATGTCCCTTTTTCCCCTCTCTTATACCAAAAACATTTACTAAACACCTTGTAGTTTGTCAAGAACTGTTGCTGGCACTAGGCATCATTTAGAAGAAAGATTTTCACTGTCCTATTTTTGACAACATCCTCTTGGATTCATTCCTTACACGATTTTTTCCTTATAATTCTGAACTCAGGATATAATATAAGCCTGCATGTTTGGGAGAGTTGTGATTTCAGAAACATTTCATTCAGTAAGAACTTTTTTGTCCTTTCTTGTATGTTACCTCATCTGGGAAGCATATGTTTATTCACTCAGAAGTTCTAGAAAATGTCACTTTAACCCAAAGAATATTAGACAACTATGGCATATCTTTAAAAGAAATATTCAGATTTGATGGTGTATGAAAACCAACCATTTTTAAAAATTAAGTCTTATTGATAGACATTAGTCTATTTCACTGAATTTAATAATCCTTGATATCAGAGAAAAAAAACTAAAAGAAAGACATCTCAAATCACAGAGATCTGTGGCATCCTAAAGCAAGCAGAGTATATAAAATTTCCAAGGGGCTTTTGCTTCAATTGTAAAGAACAATACTAGGGAACTGTTGCCAATGTGAATTTTATTCCTGATCCAAGTATTATCTTGAAATAGTAACATAAAACTGGTCAAGTATTTACCTCAGAAATAGCTCTTTTGCAAATAGTAATACAAGATAAACTAGAACTGGGCTTCTAAAATCCATCATATACTAGAAATTTTCCTGAAGCTACTCTTCTCATAAACGAGTTAATGAGCCAATAACTTTTCTAATGACAGAAAATACTATGGACATTGAGTCTTCATTCCATAAGCTCTACTGTTACCTTGATAAAAACACCCTGGATAAACAAAACTAATAGGAATTCACTTTAACTGATGCTTAAGAGGCATCTATTCCTTCTGTGAAATACGACTATTGTAAATTAGTATTGATTTCAACTCAGGATGGATGCCCACCTGAGACTAAGATTTTTCTATTTCCTATTAACTTTCTATTTACATAATTCCACAAGAGTATTAAACAAAGGCTTATGCAATATTTATGTATGTAAATATCACACAGGATTGTTTTAAAGCTTAAGAAGTATGTCAGTGTTACCAGGAGACACAGTCTTACAGAAAACTCCTTGATCCTCTGGCTCTTAAAATGTTTCTGGTCATCTCTTCCACAGTGTTCTCTGAACCTTAAGGTGGGAGATGTATTTGTTGACGTATTCTTGGGGAATGGGCTCAACAGCTTTGCATTTTCATTTGTCTTTCTCTTTTTTTTCTGTAGTGGTCTCCTTCTGCTGCGAAGTGAAGCGTCCTTGATGAGAAGTGAAGACTGCATTTATCTGTGGGTATAAGGACACATATTTATAGACTGTTGTTTGGGAAGAAGTTATACCCCTAAGTTTCACCAACATGAGCCTGCCAAAACATTAGCTGAAGAAAGGTCGTGAGGCCTCAACCCCACATAGAAATATAGGCAACTAAGTAACATATATGCATAAAATAGCAATTAATGAAAGCAGGACATTGACTTGAAAGAGACAAAAGAAGAATATCTGGGAGGGTTTGGAAAGTAGGAAGGGAAGTGAGAAATGTTGCAATTAAATTATAATCTCAAAAGTAAACAAAAGAATAACAACAAAAGTAAGTGTCTCCGGGTTCCTGAGAGGCAACAGATTAATACCAATAGATAATAATGTAGAGAACACCTGTAAAATTTTGAATGTGAGCAGTACTTCATGCTCAAAATTTGCTCAATGATTATTGAACCACAATAAAATCTTGTTACATGTGATCCATAAATTGGTTGCTTAAAGCTTCCTGCTTCTGATCTTTGTCAGTGCCACAGTCAGAAGGCATGGATCTAGTGATCTAGCACCCTATTGTCTCAGCATTCTATACCTTCTTTTCTAAACAAAAAAGACAAAAAAAATAAAGTAAAAAAGCTGATACATATTCTAGATCTGCTTTTTTGTTTTGTTTTGTTTTGTTTATGTTTATGTTTAACTATAAAGATAATGGTTAGTCACAACAAAGTACAGATTTTAGCTTCTTCCATAAAATCAAGCTCACTGATACATTTATATTACATGAGGCTAGAATCTGGAACAATGATGCATGCTGTATGGAGTGCCAATTTTAAAATTACATAGAACCACATCTAGATTGTTATTGGTACTTTAGTATTTATATTTGTAGATGGGAAATCAATTGTCATTTTGACCAATTTTTCAGAGTATTGAAAACCTCCTGTGCTTCATTTTTATTGATACCATTTTATTCTTGGTTGACAAAGGTTTTAAAAGTTTAGTTTCCAGCTTTCAAAATCATCAAATCAAAGAAAACACTTAATGATACTTTAAAAAGGAAAAGTAGATAAAACAATTTTTGAATATTTTTATTTTTAGTTCTTACTTAAAATTTTTCATTCATAATATTCCTCTCTCCCAGCTACTAGATCCCTCCAAACTTTTACCTGCCACACTCAACTTTATGTTCTCTCTGTCTCCCCCCCCCTCTCTGTCTCTCTTGCTGTCTTAAGAAACAAAAACTCCCTGAAAATAAATGTGTAACCTAAAGCTACCAGAGAGTGTTTATTTACTTGTCTGTTATTACTTATTACTCTCCCTAAAGATGAAAACTCTAGGACAGTAGGGGGCTAGAAAAATGACTGGCATATAAAGTAATTTGTGGAAAAAATGCCTGTGTGAATACTTTGAAAAAGTTTGGAAATATTAACGTGAAATTAAATAAACATAGAATATGTACTTTATGCCAAACATTATTATAAGTTACAGCAATATGTAATAATCATTGTAAACAAATTTAAAAAAAGAAACAAAAATTCAAAACATCAAATCAAAGCAAACAAAAATCTAATAAGATGAAAATACTAAAATAAAATAAATCATAGAACACTTAAAAATAATGGAGTCTATTTTGTGTTGATCAACTACTCCTAAACAGAGTCTGCCCTGTAGACACTCCATTGGAGAAAACTAATTTTTTCTTTGCTAATGGGTATCAATTACAGAAAGCTTCTAGATAAGGGTTGGGACCCCATGTTCACTTTCCCTGTTCAGTTCTTGGACCTTGTCTGGCCTGATTCTGTGCTGGTCTTGTGTTTGCTAGCATAGTCTCTGTTCATTCATATATTCATCAATCCTGTTGTGTCTGGAAGACACTACTTCCTTGGAGTCATCAACCACCTCTGGTTCTTATAATCATTTTCTTTCTCTCCCACATAGGTCTCTGAGCCTCCAAAGGAGAAGTTTGATAAATCCTGACATTTATAACTGAGCATGATTCAATTAGAATGACTACAAATGTTAAGTAGTTAGTAAAGGATCATGGAGGTGTAGGAGATCTTCCAAGAATGTGCGAGTATAATATAGTGTTGTAAAGCGATAAAAGTAGTAAGTTTTATAATACAGTTTGCACCAAGGTCAGTAGTTTGATAAAATGCAAAGTACAGCTGTGCACTGGTGGTGCACATCTTTAATCCAACAATCTGGAGGCAAAGGCAAGTGGGTCTCTGTGAGTTAGAGGCCAGCCTGATCTACAGAGCAAGTTCCAGGCTCCAAAGCTACACAGCAAAATCCTATCTCAAAAAAAAAAAAAACAATTAAAAATTACAAAGTACCTATGGACCAGAGCTCACAGACTGAGCTCAATAAAATAAAAATAAAGGAAAAGGATAAGGGAAGCTGTAGCAGAGGAGATAGCTCATCGGATAAAGAAGTAGTGGTCCAATTGTGAGGGCATGAGTTTGAGTCCTCAGAACCTAGATGTAGTAGTGTTGCATCTACATAATCCTAGAGTTGTTAAGATAAGATTGCAGACAGACACAGGAGAAGTTCTAGAAGTTTCAGACGAGTTACTGTGGCATTTGCAGTGATGAGCAAGAGAGCAGAAAATGTCTCAAAAAAGGTGGAAAGCAGTGACTGGCAATCAAGGCTGATGAGCTACAGACAAACAAACACAGATACACACACCATGGCACACACTTGCTTGCACTCACCCACATAACAAGGCATACACATATGGTACATGTGCTTATACATATACTAGATTAAAAAAAGAGAAGAGAGGGTTGGAGTGGCTCACACCTATCAAGCCCTCCCAGCACTCAGAAGAGAACAGCCATGACTGTGACTCCAGCTTGTTCTACCTAGTAAGTTTCAGACAAATCATGGGCATGAAATAATTACTATTATCACAAAAAGTCAATCAAGAGAAAATAATAAGAAAACTGTATTGAATGACATACATGTAGAGCTTAAGCAGTTAAATGGCAAATGCCACTTGAATAATTTCATATAAATTCTATGGTAAATGTCATATCTATTCCATTTTATTAAAAATTGAATTATCAATTACTCTAATATGTAAGGAATGATGTCAATAATATGTAAGGAATGATGTCCATATACACAATGGAATACTACTCAGCAGAGAAAAACAATGACATCATGAGGTTAGCAGGCAAATGGATGGATCTAGAAAAAATCATCCTGAGTGAGGTAACCCAGACTCAGAAAGACAAATATGGTATGT